CCCCCCCTTCTGCTGCCCCAGGCTATACAACCGGGGCTGCAAGGAGCCAAGCACGTAGGTATGCAGTCGACAGCTGCAGCAATGGAGGTTAAATTCAGAGGAGGTGGATGGATCTGGCCCCAAACTTGCCCGTGCTCCTCCAGGAATGCTGCTGGGGCTGAGCCCTCCCTCCATGGTCACACCAGCTCTCACAGTGGCTGCTCTGGAAAACCCAGGGATGCACACACTCATGTTCCCAGTACTTGTTATGGGCTGGGGGCGGTCCCCAGCAACACCCACTGTGGAGCTGGTTTCCTGTAGCCAGGGTGAACTGGCCAGCTCAGAGCTCTAGCAGAAGGAGAATTAAAAAAAAAAAAAAAAAAAAAAAAAAAAAAAGAGTAGAAGGACTGTTTCTGTTTCTCCATCAATTAAAGTGGCTAAAATAAGCAACTGATGAAGCTGGGTATTGTGCCTGGTTCTCCTTGCCAAGCGGGACTCTGGGAGTGCTGCTCCACAACCCTGCAGAGCAAGCACCACCACGCCTGGTCACGGCCCTGAGGGCCACCACCGCTGTTGCAATGAGAAACATTTGCCCTTTTCTGTGTTTTGAGAAGCACAGATGAAAGTAGCTTCGGAAAGTACTTGTTACGATGGTTTAAGAAAACACAGAAGGATAAAGGGAGTTGCATGGGAGGTGTCTGGAAACAGGCGAGCGGAGCTGACCTTCCCGCCCACCCTGCTGCGTGCCATGGACTCACCACCCAAACAGGCCTTGCTGCGCGAGGAGACGGCATCTCCCTTACTCAGTGGGGACTCGGGAGTTTCTCACCACGGGGGACATCCTCACTCATCTCCTGTGGCTTTGAGGGCAAGCGTCCTCCCTGTGCCCTGGGCAACCACCCTACTGAGCTACAGGGAAGTCCCCCGCGCCAACAGCATCCCGGGTGGTGGCTTTGGGGAGCTTGCTAGCAGCCTCCAGCACTGCAAGAGGCCACGTAGCCTCCAGTACTCCTCAGCCATAGGCTCAAGGGTAAACCGAAATAACAAGTCCAAATACTTCTGCTGGACAATGTGGAATTCCCCGCCTCTCTCTACCTGACCGGGGACACCAGAGAGGTGTATATCCACTTTCTCGTACCACGGCAGAAGGCCTGCTGTGACAGACAACATATATATATCAGCTACAGTGCGAAAGCTTTGAAGATCTTGCACCAGAGCGATGCTGAAGTAGGTGGCCCTTTCCTCCTGTTGATAATCTAGTTGGTCAAATTAGAAAGGAAGAGTAGGAAGGGAGGAGCAGGCTGGAGGACTCGGTTCCTGAGGGAAAATGGCACTGCAGCACCCCTGAGGCAGAGCACGGGCGTCAGCCCCAGCCTGCTGAAACCATCGGGAAGATACCCCAGGGCAAGGTTTCCTGCTAAGGCTGAAAGACAACTTACTGCTTCGTGGATGGCAGTCAGCTCGTGCCTCCTGAAGCTGGAGGCGTTCCTCCTCACCTCCTCGTACACAAGATCGTACACATCCATCATGCTGTCTTCCACCTGCGATGAAAGCAGAGGTCTGTACGTGGAAAACACTGACTGCGGTCGTCTCTGGAGGGAAATAGGCTCCTCTCGCATCCCCCCAGAAGGTCTCCCAGGTATAGCGAGGCAAGTAGTGCGGCTATTCAACGACCACCATGCAGCAGCAGGAGCTGGCATACGACCCACCAGGCACCAAGGGGCACCCACAGCACGGCGAGTCCCACGAGAGAGGCTGCGATGCCGCACGCGTACCGCCTCCTGCTACGCGTGGACCCTTTGGCATCGCACCAGGGTCTCGCCAGCTGATGGCTGGGGCTTTTGGCCAGTTTCGGATTTAGGGTCAGAGATGAACTCTTGTGCCTTTGACCAGTGTGCCAGGCAGTGATGACACCATCCCCCTGACCCGATGGGTGACTGTCGGGACAGGCACACATGGCCGTGAGATGCTAAAATAAAAAGGTGGGAGGACCTCAGATGGCTGGCGTTATCCCAGTGACAGAGGAATTCCTTCAAATAGAGCCAAAAAAATAAGAGAGTGATTCAGTGGTGAATCAGACCCTAAATATTTACCAAATGTGTGAGAACTTGCAGCTTGGCAGATCCCAGCCAACTCCTGCTCAGGTTTCAAAGGGAAAAAATATGACAATTGCCTTCAGCGCCTGGAGTCAAAACCTTATTTCTTCCTTTCTTTTTCCCTCGCTTCCTCACCAGCATCGATCCGCCGGCCCGCAGGCAGCGCTTGGCTTTCGGGAGGGAAAAATCGATGGGCGAGACAGACGGAGCGGGTGGCCGCGCGAGGAGGGACGGGCGCTCCGGGAGCGGAGCCATCTCTCAGTGAGGCTTTTCAGCTCAGTCTTAAGGGGCTGTGCTTGGAAATTACTCTAGGGGGGAAAAAAAACCCCCAACGCCGTGTGCTTGGGGGTGAAACCGAGGTCGTTCGAGGTGTGTTGTATCACACTCGGCTCCGTGCCATCAGGAATAGAGTTTAAAGGCTCACACGGGAAGATTTTCCTCATATAGAAGTGGGGGGGCTTGGGGGGTTCTCATCTGCAGCAAAGCTGCTGTCCCCCCAGGACGCTCCATCACCCGTCACGGAGCAATCAGTCGGTGAGGCAGAAGCAACCAGCTTTAATGAGAGAGGTCCGATGATGGACAGGGCACAGATATTCTGAGCCAAGGAAAAAAAATCCTCCGAAACAAGGTGCGTGATGCTGAGCTGTCCCAGAGGGGCGAGGAGGGAGGATGCTCATTTTGTCACCCCCGTGTATCAGAGTGCATCTTGCGGGATGGGCGCAGCAGTAAGACAAGATCTCTAGCGGACTTGTGCACCATCCTCCCCCTGAGCTAACCTTAAACCCCAGTAAAAAGGAAAACATCCCAGCTTTTCTAACTTCTTGTGGGCCATGAAATAGCTTTCCAGCAGCAGCAATTAAATAAACGGATTCAATAAAAAGAGCGTCCATTTCCACTGAAGAATTGGATTAAGAATAATGAAAAAAGAATAATCTTTTGACCTCCTCTTGGGGCCTTGTGTTGCTGAGGAAGGAAGGAAGAACAGAACAGCCGGCTTCTTAACCCAAGAGATTATTACCTTTTGAATATCCCAACCCCAGTCTAAGATGTAGGAATAAAAACTATTTTGTGTTGTGACAACATACATATGGCTCTCGGTAAGGTAATGGTGCTGCATGTGCAATTTTTGTCTTTTCATATTTATCATTAGGCTCAGGATGCTGAGCTTCCCTCCAAAAGGCCTAAATGTTGATGACTTTTTTAAAAAAAAAAAAAAAAAGGGGGGGGGGTTCAAGCAAGTTGCTAGGTTCAAGCAAGGGTTCAAGGGTTGAAAGCAATCCAGAAGTTTAACATTAAAGGTCTATTGAACACTGGGCCAGGAAATGCTGAGACAGGTAGTTTTAAGCCCTTTGCCTTGCCTGGGCACATTCCCCAAAACCTCATAAAAACTGGCAAAAATGCTCCTTTGACTGCAGTGAGTTTTGGGCCGGATCTGGCTGCTTACTTTACAACTGTATTCAACTTAAACCAAGGTAAGATGAAACTTTGTCCAGTGATGTTGCATCTACGAAGACCATCGCAGGCTCCCTAGCAGCAGAGCAGGCTCTGACCACGCCACCAGAACCAATTCTCTATGCAGGAAAGTCAATGCTCATTAGTGTTTTGTCCCGATAATAAGCCTCAGGGCCCAACTGAAGCTGATGTCCTCCTCAGTAGCTTCTCAGGCGGTGGTGCTGCACTGAGAGGAGGGCAGGCGAGCTGCCCAGATGTTGGCAGCTGCTGGCCGCTGCCCATAGCCTGCGGCAGGTCCCAGACTGGCAAGCTCCTGCCGGCTGCGTGAAACCACGAGAGGATCGATTTGACCAGGAGAGGTCCTGCCTGATGCAATGGTGCACATTCGCACCTTCCTCATTATTTTAGGTACTATGCAATGACATTAAACACGGAGACTAAGGCTGTTTGAAGAAGAGTGGCTAGGAAAGAATTGAAGGAACAAGATCACCATAACAAAGCTATGGCAGAAAATTATTCCAACTGTTGGAAACAGTAAGGGAAGAAACCACGAGCAGTCACCGTTTCACAGCCAGCTCGACTACAGCGGTGATGATGATGATGAGGGTAATCTCCAGGTACATAATGACTACTAAAGACTTCAATTGCACCCTGTTTCTGAGCTCGCTTGTGAGCTGGCTTCTCAGTTATTTACTGATTTTTTTCATTTTGTCAAGCAGCCGCCAAGAACTGAAAGCACAAAGGATTACGTGTAAAGTGTTTTAGAGCAATAATTTCCTTTTAGAATGTGTGTCTGGGCAAGCCTAAGAGTACAATCTGCTGATTAGCCCTTCTCAGCATTTCTATCCAGCAACTATATCTAGCATTTCTATCCAGCTATTATCTGAACACGCTATTCAGGTCCTGGTAAGGGAATATCAAACTGCAAAACCATTTTTTAAAAGACTGAATTGACGGTAGTTCCTCCACATCATCTTTCTGATTTTTTCTAGGATCATTTGATTTTGGAGGGGAAAATTGCTGTTTTCATACAACGTGGCGGTCTGTTTTCAAAGATTACTGCAGAGAGCTTTCTCATTTAAATATTTCAGAGGTAGGTATAAAGTACTAAATCTCAGTATTTATCACTGGCTGTTTCTTTCTGTGCAGGAGATTGTGCCACAGAGCATACGAGAGGTCTGGTTTAACAAGGAGACATACAAGAGCAATAAAAGATTGTACTAACGAACCATCATCTTAGCAACTCTTCTGCCTGGGATGGGGTTATGTTTCTGCTCAAAGCTGCAGCCGAGCTCTGAAGCTCGGTCATGCACGGCAGCACCTATCCAGCCCAAAATGGCATGCTAACTCATGCATGCCTAATGATGTAAAAAATAAAACCTGAAAGCACGAGACAAAGTCACCAGGTGGTTTCATGACCTATCTTTATTTGCAGCATTATTTTATCCAGCAGACGCAAGTTCACCCCTATATTTTCCTTTGATCTGGGACATAACACAGTGAAGAGCTAGCCTGCAGCGCTGCTTTGTGCCATCCTCAACAGATTCCCATCGCACACTCCACTGACGGGCAACTTCACTCCATTGCCTCAAAATAATTTTCTTTTTCCATTTCTTACACCAGGTGTTGGAGAAAAAAAAAAATTAAAAATGATCAGGGTGCTTTTTCTCACGGTTAAGCAACAGGATGCCTTTTGAGTTCGAGTGGTTACGCTGACAGTGTTAATCACATACCTTAAGGAAACCACAGCTGTGCCCTGGCCATAGTTAGCATGTAATGGATGAATACAGCTGGAGAAGAGAAAGACCTTCTTTTCCAAAGGTCTTACACTCCGCCCCCCACCTCCATTAGCATCATTATGGTCAAGTGGATTTTCCTGTTCCTAGTGACATGCTGTGACCCACTGCTCGAGGAGTATTTCTGGATGAAGCTCTCCCTTGGAAGGAGACTGCACCCGCGATGCTCATCAGTAAAAACCACCGAGAGCTGAAGATGAAGCATCCGCTGGGCTTTGGCTTAAGAAAAATCTCCAGGTTAAGTGATATGGAGGTCACACCTTTCAGTCATTCTTTTCCTGGAAGATGCTGGGTGAAATGTTCCAGCTCTAAATTAGTCTAATAATTGCTGCCTCCCACTTCTGCCTGCATTCCTGAATGAAACATTCATTTAGGGATGATATCGATGGGTTGCTGGATACAACAAATGGAAAATCACCACCGAGATGGATGTGGCTGACTCCAGCTGACTCAATAGAGTAGCATTTTTCACTTAAAGTAAAAGAAAGAAGGAATTTTGAGATTGCTTATCATCCTCTAAATCCTTTGTCCCCCAAGAAGCAGAATTTATGACTGCAGGAAGGCATTTACTCTAAGCCACCAGTGTTCTTGCCCTTGGCTATTAGAAACTAAAGCAAATTTCAGCCTTACCTCCTTCAAGAGGAAAACTGACATTTTTGACTTGGGTTGTTTATCAAGGATAATTTTTACCTGTAACTGGATTTGGAACAGAAAGATCAGACCAGGAGGTCAGCCTTCAGTTCCTGATCCCTTTGCAAGCCAGAGGTGTCAACAAATCCCCCTCCACTGCCAGTGACTACCCGTGCCTAGGCAACCTGAGCTAGTCGCTTCGACGTACGTTAGAAAACCGATGTAGAGTCATATCAAGAAGAACAATCTGAGACCTACTCGGTGAGCCATCTTTGCAACAGTTGTTGGCCAAAAATCTCCCTGAAGAGCTGGAGCTCAAGGAGAACATTGTGAAAGGAGATGTCAGGATTATCTCAAAGACAAGCCCACCTTTCTGCTTAACAGGAACGCTCTTGACATGGCAGAGGAGGAAGGCAAGCATGGCAAGCAGAAGGAGGATCTTGCCATGTCTTTGTCTCTTTGAGGTACCAAACAGAGCACAAGCGCCGCAGCCTCAGAAGAAACTGCCACCTCAGCACTTCATGTTCTTTCAGCGTCGCCGAGAGGGATGGACTCACTAGCACCGCT